AGGTTTCCTCGCTAAAATTTTTGTTTTACGAGGGACTATTTCCTTGTTAAAAAAACCAATTAGCGAGGAAATAATAGTTTTCTCATTATTAGTTTGGTGGAAAAATATTCAAAACCCGCCAATTTCAATAGCAACAAATTTAAGACTTCCTCTCTAAAAGTTTTTGTTTTACGAGGAACCGTTTTGTCGTAAAAAAGAACCTATTAGCGAGGAAATTATAGTTTTCTCACTATTAATTTGGCGAAAAAATTTGCAACACCAGCCAAATTCATTGACGACAAATTAAAGGTTTCCTCGCTAAAATTTTTGTTTTACGAGGGACTGTTTTCTTGTTAAAAAAACCAATTAGCGAGGAAATAATAGTTTTCTCATTATTAGTTTGACGGAAAATTGTACAAAACCCGCTAATTTCAATAGCAACAAATTTAAGGCTTCCTCGCTAAAAGTTTTTGTTTTACGAGGAACCGTTTTGTCGTAAAAAACCTATTAGCAAGGAAATTATTCAACAATTTATAGACACTGAACAATTTCAAAGGTAATCTTGCTTCATGGTGTTTGTTTATTTCACTTAGTTTCATTGACGACAAATTGAAGGTTTTCTCACTATTTTTTTTTGTTTTACAAGGAACCATTTCATTGTTAAAATAATCAATTAGCGAGAAAATAATAGTTTTCTCGTTATTAGTTTGGCGAAAAAAATATGCAAAACCCTCCAAATTCAATGGCGACAAATTTAAGGCTTCCTCGCTAAAAGATTTTGTTTTGCGAGAAATCATTTCCTTGTTAAAAAACCAATCAACGAGGAAATAATAATATCCTCATTATTCATTGGCGAAAATTTTGGTGGGAATTTGGGTAAAAAATAGGTGGGTACTCAAAAAAAAAGAGCGGGCCTCTAATATCAATGACCTCACAAATGTCCATATACAAGTTAACAATTGTGGGCCAATTTAGATTTTTTTTGAATAAATGTCCAGCACGAGGTAAAAGCTCCAGTATGGATAGAAATAAGGATTTGGTTTGTCTGGTTGATGGTTCCTTTTTGTAGGTTTTTGCACAATTCACATGAAGATTAACAACCAATTAATATTTATTTAGGTTCAAAGGATCCCAATGATAAATGATTGCTCACAAATTTAATAAGATTTAAACAATTTGCGATTTTTGAATATACATTTATTTCAGACTTCTAAAATTAGATTATGTTAATAGATAATATTGACTTCTGAAAATAGATTAAACCAAACGTGCAATGAAATCTCTTATTCCAGTTTGACATAGCACTAGTACAAAAATAGGACAGTCCAAACGGTTATTAGAACCGTTTGGACAAGTAAAAACAGCCCAAACGGTTAAACCCGTTTGGGTTTAATTTATAACCGTTTGGGATAACAAAACCCAAACGATTGAAACTGTTTGGGCTGTTAAGAGATCCCAAACGCAACCCCTAAATAGGCTTAACCGTTTGGGATGTTTAGGCCAAAAGGTTTAACTCATTTGAGTGATTTAATTATTATTATTATTTTTTTAAAATAAAACATTTCTATTTTTCCGTTCTTTTCCGCTTCCCCCAAAATTTCCCCCAAAATCTAAAATCCGTTCTTTGCTTCCCCCCACCCCCCAAAAAACATTCCCCCAAAATCTAAAATCCGCGCCCCTTATCCCATCCCCTCAAATTCCTCATCTGACCCTCATCTGAAATCCCTCTTCTCAAACCCCAATCTCTCAAATCCCTCGGCCATCTTCTTCCTCCTCCTCCGCTCCCACCGCCGCCTCCCCGTCGTCTTCATCCGCTTCGATCTCGTCGGGCTCCGCCGTTGGGTCTTAGGGTTCTACATCATCCATGCTCAGTCCCCCCAACTCCAACTCCAGCATTTGTCTTCAGAATAAAGCTTAGCACTTGGCTCGGAAAAGCTTAGCACCAGAGGCCTCTCATGGCGGCAGTGGACCCCACTCGGGCCTTCGTCAAGGGCGTCAAGCGTATCGTCATCAAAGTTGGTGTCGTTTCTCTCTCTCTCTCTCTCTCTCTCTCTATAGTTTTGTACCTTGAGGTATGGTGTAATTACACCTGGAGTTTGCATATCTATATGAGTAACCTGTAGTTACTGATTGTAGTTACATCGATAACCCTAGGAGTCGCTTGTCATCTAGGCTTCAGCGTCACCCTTGTAACTACAACTTGTAAATTCAGTTGGCAAAGCGGGGTTTTAGCAGATCATAAGAATAGAAGATTGAGCTAAAACTGCTATAATTGTATTTCAGCTTTCTACATCCTTAGTAATGCATTTGAAATTGTTTGCAGGTTAATAGAAAAACAAGAAACATGGCTTATGATTTGCTTGTTGAGATTGGGCATACCAGGATGGGAAAAAGGAAAACCTATTTGAGTTTTTTAAAATGGTATTATAAATTATTCAGAGTGCATATTTTTAATTTTGGTACCTCTAGATCCTAGAAAAAAATGGTGTTATGCCCCTAGGCCCTAGAAATGGTGTTTTCATCGATGTATGTGCATGCGCGCACAAATGTGTGGGTTTGTGGGTTGTGTGCACACGCATGTTTATTTGCATTGTTGTTTGCTTGATGCTTCAGGTTGTGGACACCATTTGGGTGATGTGATTAAAATGTAGTTATTTGCCTTTTGATCTTTCTCTTCAAACCTAGGTTGCTGGAGGTTTGGCCGGTGAAAAGCCACACATGATCAGTGCAGCTGTCAAAGGGTTAGCTCGGTTGGTTTATGAGTTCTCAGATCTCATTGGTGTAGCTTATAACTTGCTTCCATCTTCATTTCTTCTCCTCCAAAGGAAAAATCGAGAAATAATCAAAGTATATTTCTACTATTTTAAGCGCAACAAATTTAAGTCATATGAAAATTTTGATAGTCAGCTGAAGCTTTTGTATATTTGGCTGTATTTGCTTTTTTACTGTACTGGCACAGGCAAACAGAGAGACTACAAATTCACTTAAGGACAATGGTCGAAGGGTTGTTGAAATGGCAAGATAATACTAAAAATCATTTTAAAGCTAAGGTACTGTATTTTCTGAACTTGTTTTGGCCTCTGTTTCTGTATATGTTGGTAATATTTGGAATGAACTGATTTCATTCCGCTAAACCTGCAGTCAGATATCTGCATCATGATGCACTTATCCTTTGTTGTATATTCACAACAAAGGACTCCTGAATTGTGGCCCAACAATTTCAGGTGATGGTTCTTAAGAAAAACATATGTTTTGATTGTTGGAATTTTGTTTACATAACTTACTGAAAGCATGTATTCTTTGGACTTTGTAGTATGTAAAAATGTGTTAATAAAAATACTGGTAAGGTGGTAGACTTATGCATTGTTATTACTACTGTTGTTTTATAGATGTAAGTTGTAACTCTTTTATAGATGTAACTTGTTGTGCCTTCTCTTGTACATTAAAACTGTGCTACTCTATTTCTTATGTGCTGCATAGATTCTGTTACATGTTTATAATTTCATTGACTGCAGAAAATTACCTATAATAGATGTGCTATTTCAATGATAAGAGTTTATGCACTCTTCTCATTCATTTTGGCAGGTCAAATTACTTCTTGAAATGCTTATGAGAAAATGCGGTGTAGATGTTGTTAGAGTAGTGATGCCTGAGGAGCATATGAAACTCCTTACAAACATAAGAAAGGTAGAAACACTTGTAACTGACTTGTGGCATTTATGTTTCTAAGCTGGTTCTAATTATTTTCTAATTTTATTGTTGTTCGATTGATAGATCAAAGAGCGGAAAGAAAGAAAAGCAAAATCTGATGAGGATTCAGAATCAATTCATACTAAAACAAGTATTTCCAGGTAGCGCCTGCATTAACTAGAGACAGATGTGTCCTTGTGTCTGGTTTTGATAGATTAATTGTCTCTCAGTGAAAGTGCAATTACATTCTTTGTAATCTTTCTAAGCATGTTTTTATATTATATTGTTCACATTTTAAATTAAATTAAGAGAAAAACATACAAATTCTTAAAGTTTCCTGCATGATGGTAGTGGATTTCAGTAGAATTCCTGTCTTTTGCTGAAAAGAGGATATGCCTTCTCTCCCGCACATATCGTCACCCCTTTTCGTTCAAAAGAAAAATCAGTGTCGGTTTGTACTGGCAATGAGTATACTAATTAAAAGTCGAGTGGTGATGTTAAGAAGAAGGATAAGCTTGATCCTTATGCGTATTGGCCTTTGGATAGGAAGTTGTTGAACCGAAGAGTAGAGCGAAAGGCTTCTGCTCGTAAAGGAATGGCGAGTGTGATGAAGTTTACGAAGAAGTTTGAAGGGAAGAGTGCCTCTGCTGTTAGCTTGGCCGATTCAAAAATTGATGTTTAAGTAGTGAATCTCACATTGTTTGCTTTGGTCTATAGCTGCTCATACTGTTTGAGACCCAAATTCTTTAAGAAATCCGTCTTTTGATTGAAGTTAGCTTCCTCGATTGGGATTGGAGTCAAGATTGGATCTTTGTAACCAGTGAAATCATGCCATTAACTATAGTTGTAGAAATGCACTAAATCTAGGTGTTTCCGTTTGTTTATTTTTACAGGTAGGGACTGCTGTTGTGACTAGAATTGATGGAAGGTTGGCTCTTGGGAGGTTAGGATCTCTTTGCGAGCAGGTAAGGTTGAGCTTTCATTAGCAGCAGTTCATTCTTTAGTGCTAAGTTGTTCGCAAGTTCTTCTCAGAAGTTTGGAAGTTCGTGTTGTAAAGATGAGATGATTAATTTGCAGGTCAAAGAACTGAATTCTCGAGGATTGGATGTGATTTTGGTAACATCTGGTGCGGTGGGTGTTGGTCGACAGAGGCGCAGATAACCATCTTCACTTGTCTTCAAAATTTCATCTGGTAATTGACATATGTTATACTTATGCACATTAATGTGCTAACAATTTTTAGTTTCAATAACATGCTCGTGATACTACAAAGCTTAATCAACAACAACATTAAGTAGTAGAACTTCTACTACATATGTTATACTTACAGTTGAAAAGTTTAAGGTACAATATATATTTTTTATTTTTCTTCACACATTACATTTTTTCTTTTTTTCATTTACTTCTTTCTAACTGTATGTCTTAATAATTTTAGATTCGCTCAGAGAAGAATGTTCTTAATAGGTCAAAGTTGACATATCACCACAAAGCTGGGTCAAAATCATTTATGTCACACCAAGAGCAAATTGTAAGACACTTTTTAGTTTTGCTTATAAATTTGTAACTTAATTGTGTACATATATATATGTTGAAAAATAAAATATGTCTTAATGCAATAGGCAACACAGGCTGGACAGATGCAAGGTGCAATTGATCGTTTTGAAACAGAGTATAGAAGCACAAAAAAAGGATGGGACTTGGGAGCAAAGGAAAAATGGGTAAGTAACGTGTCAATGATGCATGCTTTTATAATATTTTAAGAATATATGTGAAACTGATATTACTGTTCTAAAGAGGATTATATTGATTAGACCACCACCATTAAGCTTCTCTCGTTATTCGATGAGTGAAATGTCTGAAAAGAATAAAGAGTTGCAAGAACAACTTCAAGAGACCCAACAACTGTAGGAACTCAACAACAAAAGATCGATGCGCAAAATGAGGTAATCCAAAGATTGGAGGAGCAAGCCAAAAATTTTGAGGAGTTTATGGCTAATTTTTTCAAGCAACATCCATCAACTTAGTATTCTTAGTGAACTTAAACTTGGAGAAATGTTTCTTTGATCATGTTGCATTTCTTATTGCTTTAGACTAGCATTGTTACTTATGGTAAAAACTTGCTTGTTTTATTTATTTTAATTGTTTTGATGTACTGTGATGACAATTGATGACAAGTGTTTATATTTTGAGCGTTTTTCTCGTAATAACATTATTATTGATGAAATAAAATTTTCTCATTATAAGTATACTACTTACGTCGTCAAAAGAATATTTCCTCGTTATAGAGTATATTGCTTACGTCGACAAAAACATATTTTCTTGTTATAGTGATACAACCTATAGCGGCAAAAGTAATTTTCCTCGCTATAGACCATATAATCTATATCGACAAATGTAAATTTCCTCGTAATTGAATTTCTTTGGCGAGGAATATGGGGTACAATCTACAACGATAAATTTAAATTTCCTCGTATTTGAGTCTCTTTACTGAGGAATTGTTTCCACGAAAAAAAGATACATATAATAAAGAAAATTAATTTCCTCGTTAAAGATTTATCTTTGGTGAGGAACGATTTCCTCGCTGAAAGATACTTACGACGACGAAAATAATTTTTTTATAATTTTTATTATATATAAATTAAATATTATTCACGTATCATTGGCGAGGAAATTGTAGTTTAGCGATGAAAAAGATATGAGATTAGGTGAGGAAAAATATCGAGGCTAAAGAGTAATAACGAGAAAAGAATATATTCATCGTAAAAATAATTTCGCGAGAAATTATAATATTCCTCGTAGAAACTTTTCTTGACCAACTTTACCGCGAGGAAATGGTGATCAAAGTTTTTTCCTCGCCAACACACTATGGCGAGGAAATCTCGACTTTTAACGACAAACTTGTTCCTCACGGATTAGCTTTTCTGTTGTAGTGATATCCTAAAAATATTGATATTCAATTTGATATATGCAAGGATATATGAACAAGAGTAAATAAACAAGTGATAGTACGCAAAGACAAACACAAACACAAGATATGATCACGGAGTTCGGACCTTTCGTCCTACGTCTCCGCTCCTCACTCCCGGGGAGAAATCCACTATCACAACCGGGTTTTCTATGCTCACTCGAACAACGTTTACACCTCACAATTCGGTTTTCTAGTTCACTAAAAACTTTACAACACACACAATTGCAATCACACTCTACACCCTCTAAGTATTTGTCTCTAGCCCGTGTTTCCCTCAAGTGCTCGGAATTACGACCTACCTCTAGGCATTACAACCGACGCCACTCCTCTTGGGATAACCCCGTCTCTTACCACACACTCTTCTCGATGTACAAGTGTGATACAACGTGTAACTCACAATTAAGAATAATACAATAAAATGTTATCTACAATAGGTAAGAACTCAATATAAGCTCACACTCAAGGTTACACTCACCACAATTCCAAATTACACAATATGTGAAAATAGTTAAGCTCAATGGTTGTGTGTGCAAGCAATGAGAAAAATCAAATTTAAGCTCAATGGTTGTGTGTGCAAGCAATGAGAAAAATCAAATATAAACTCAATTAAATCTAGCAAATATGAATATATGAGAAAAATCAAATATAAACTCAATTAAATCTAGCAAATATGAATATAACAATTGAAGCATAAACAAGTTAGAGATATGAGTTTAGAAACACTTCTCTAATCACAAGAGAGAGGGATAGGATGATTGAAATCCCAAACTGAAATTGATCTCCTCTTATTGTAAAATAATCTTCACAAAACTAATTTTGTAAACAAACACTTAAAACAAACTAAAACTCCTTTTAAATTTGTTTTAAAACTTCTCTTCATAGTTCAGAAGTGAAATGGTATATGGTATATATAGGATGAAGAAACAAAGCTCAAAACCCAAGTGAAATCCAGCAAAATAACAAAAAAAAAAAAAAAACTAGAAAAATAACCATTACAGGTCATCAGTCGACTGACGAGTTTCATCAGTCGACTGATGAGCTGACCGTTGCAAGCAATCGGTAGCTTATCAGTCGACTGATGACCTTTATCAGTCGACTGATAGATTATCAGTCGACTGGTCAGTCAATCAAAATAAAACAGAAACATTTGGCAGCTGCAAGCACTTTTATTAGTCGACTGATCGGTCGACTGATTTCATCAGTCGACTAATCAGTCAACTGATAACAAGTATACAACATATTTAAAGCAGAAACCTGATTTTCAAACTGCCTTTAAAAATAGCAAACAAATTCTAAAAATTATAAAACTTTGGAAAATGATTGTAGACATGATAATACACATGCTATAAAAACTGGTTTTTAAAAATCATCTCCCAAATGTGAATTCTCATCATTTTGTAAAATCACATAAGTATGAACATGTTGAAAACTTGATTTTACCAAAATGACTTAAACAAAACTTTGAAACACTTTAGAGTGGATTTATAGACTTATACAAGATATGAAAATAGTGTAAGTAAGTCTTCAATCCATAAACATAATATTTTGCAAATTCAATAGAATATGAAGCATATAAATGTGAAAATGAAGATATATATTTCTTTATATCTATATAGCTAAACCAAAACAACATATCCACATAGAAAACAAATAAGTATTATATATCTATTTATTTGCAAAAACTTTTATAGATAAAACACATAAACCATTAAATTTGTGTGTGTATAATATTGAGCTTAAGATATTAACACACAAAGTATAAACTCTAAACTAATTTACCCAAGATTGATAGATCTTCAATATGCTTGACTTGGTTGCGGATGAAGCTTGATCTTGAATATGACTTGATGTATAATAGCTTCATACTGATATTCTGCCAACCTCCATTTGATGTGATCGTGAAGGCTCAAACCATCCAACCTCCAACTTGGATATTTGTGTAGATTACCTAACAAAACAAATGCAAACACTCGACACACATTGTTAGGAATTGTTTGTGATTATCAAAACAAGATTAGAAGATATAGGCTCATAACATGAGACCTAACAATCTCCCCATTTTTGATGATGACAAACAATCTACACAAAGAGTATATAAAATATACAATAAAGCACAATACTCTTAAAACATACTCACAATCTACTTGTTTCTCCCCCTTTGGCAACATAAAAAACGGGGAAACAAAATAATAAGAGAGCGAAAGCTCCCCCTATCATAAAGCATAGGTGAGTATAAAAAAAATATGGGGAATGCTCCCTCTATCAAAAAGCCATATAAAAAATATGCAATTATAAACTTGGCAAACAAATGTGAGCAAGCATAGACAAAAGTATGCTAAACACCACTCACATACAAGACCAAGTGAACACTCATATGTGGGTGAAAACTTGTGTCAACTTAAGTGGATAGGGAATAGTATATCCACCAAAGTTTTTAACCACTCATATTACCTAGGGATCCTTATATTATATAAAAAGGTATTTTATATTAATAAATATGTGGCTAGAAACTTTGGTGGACATCAACTAGTTGATAGGAGTCTTGTTCCTCATATGTGTATCATTAATACAAAGTGTCACAAGGGTCTAACACAAAGATATATATATCCATAGGATATATATCAAAAACAAATGAAAACAAAAAATCCCAAAAATGAAAATCAAAGTTTTTTTAAAAAAAATCAAGAATCAAATGATTTGTCAATAAATTCAAAGGAAAATTCATAAGTTATCAAACCATAAGTTATGATTGATTGAGAACATATGTAAATACATTATTATGAGAATAATGTCTCAATACATGAAAATAAAGAATACTTGTTAAAATATTTATAAGTTTTATCCATAAAGATTAAAAATTAGTATGCTTTGGATAAATAAAGAATACTTGTTAAAATATTTATAAGTTTTATCCATAAAGATTAAAAATTAGTATGCTTTGGATAAATACATGAAAGATCAATTATAAGTTTTATCCATAAAGATTAAAAATTAGTATGCTTTGGATAAATACATGAAAGATCAATATGCTTAATTTCGACAAAAACAAGAAAAACTTGTTTCAACCCATATGAATGCTCGGTGAACATGATATGAAGTGTAAGATTAATAAATCCGGGGGTAGCTAAAATATAACCTTCTCATATGCAAATTTAAAACAGAGTATATATATCCAAAAAGTGTTTGATCAATAGAAGAAGTATTCTTTGTAAAACTTGATCAAACCATATAAGAAATACATTATAAACCATAACTAGATGATCCAGAAGCTCAACCACATAAATATCATCAAGAGTGTTTTATAATGATCCTATAAACACAAACACATTATTCAAACTTAAAAACTGATAACAAGGTGTACTAACAAAAATGATGTTTTAGCATAGAAAAATCATCTTGATAAAATTTGTATCAATTTATAAAGGATAAAAACATGAAAATCTATGAAAGAGAATCATAAAAAAAAAATATGAATGATAACTTTTCAAATCAAATGCCAAGTATCAAATTGTTTTCATTTTTGTATATAAAACTTAAATAGAAATCATCTTTAAGAACATAAAAAAACTAAAAAGCTAAAGAGTTTGTTCCTAAAGATTAAACATGTTTTGGTACCCAATTACTCTTGGTACCGAAGAGACTAGGTACATGACCCCTATCATTAAA